ACATCACACAAACACACGAGCGAATGAGACATTAGCCAAAAGTGATGAGGGAAGGTGAGCCCCACCAAAGAGGAGTGAAGCTTTGCAGAAGTTCAAGGACAGTTCAGGGTTCATCCAGGCAGTCACAAAGCAAATGCTAAATGATTTTTTATGCCTGCTTACATGCAGTCACAGGATCATACACTGAGAGCTGGAGAAGGCCTTAGGTCAGCAGCCCCATAAGCCGATGTGTCTGGTGATTGGACCTGGATCCTGACCCACTGTGCTCCCGAGCCCTGTCTGCAAAGCCTTCACCTTCTCCACATGTCAGCTGACACAACAAAGCTATCAGGCATTTCCCTGGGTGATGGAAGCTTACAGGGATGCCGTGATTCCCAAGGTCACAAGGCTGCTAAGCAGCAAGGACAGATTTCAAACTAAGCCTTCCTAATCCAAGGTCATTGATCTTTTCAGAACAAGGAGTTATTTTTTAATGTAGCATCACCTAGTTGCTTGAATTAATTTTACATTGTTTTTCCTTTTTAGAAAAACTCATGACAATCTGTCATACCATTTCAAACAGGAAAATTATACAAATGTCTGACTGGAGAATGCTCTTTGGTATAGGTATGAAGGAGACCATAAAAATAATAATGCCCATGTTGACAGAGCTTACAAAATATTTTTTAAGCAATATCTTCTATTTCACCCGTTTAATTCAAATAGATAAGAATATACGGCAAGACCTCCAATTCATTAAAAATATTTTCCTAAGATGACAAATTTAAGCCATCAGTCCACCAACATGGACTCCCCAACCCCCACATACATCCCTAGCACACAACTTACAGAGGAAGAAAGAACCCCAGATAGGGGAGTTTTTCATAAGGTCACAGGATGAGACTTAAGCGGGAAGGGCCCTTAGAGGGGACCAAGTCTGAGAACTATACACATTGCCACTACTCCAGGATGTCCTATTGCAGAGCAAAATTAGGTTCATAGCTTACCTAAAACAAAGTTGTTGAAATGTCTGCATGAAGCATATTTCTGAAGCACAAAATTATTCACAACTTGCCAACTTGGAAAGTATCCAGCGCCATGTCCTAGGGATCCATGTTTGACCCTGTGCTATTTTAGTATTTTCATCAATGACTTGGAAAGCATAGATGGCATACTTATTCGATTGGTAGATGACACAAAAGGTGACAATAAATACAATAGAGGACAGGATTAAAATGGTCTTGACAGGCTAAAACATTTTGCGGCATCTATTAAGATAAATGCAAAATCACAAAATTTAGCACTGGAAGGGACCATCAGGAGCTCCCCAGCCCAACCCAAACTCAAAAGGAATGTCCATTAAAACACACCTGAGAGTTGGTCATCCAGATTCTGCTGAAAACCTGCAATACGGGAGAACCGATGACTTGAAGCAGCTCATCCCACTTTTGGACCACTGATTGTTAGGAAGTTTTCCCCTGACACAAAGCCTAAATTTTCCTCTTTTGAAAATCTGCCCCCACTGTCAATACCTCTTCCACCTGAGAACCCTTCACATGCTTCATGTGATATGAGCTGTCAGACACAGCTCTAGCATCCCAACTGCATCCCAAGTTCCTTCCACCCCTCTTCCATGATGGCTTCAATGTCCTTGAATCTGCAGCAATCCACTGGTCTTTCAAGACAATCCAGTACTGGTGGATGAACTTTGGAACCCAAGTGTATAAACTTTACATTTATCACCACTGAATTTAATCTATCCTATCAAAATCTTGCATTTGGGGGCAAGAACTCATTTTAAAGTTCAGTATGAAAGTGAATAAAATATTTGTCCTCTTGGCCCCAGGGATCACACCGCTTGCTAGACTTACTCTCAAAAATCAGTAAGAGAGGGCCCATATACACCAAAATGTTGTTGGTGGAACCTTTTCTGGCAGAAAAAAAAATAGATGCAGGGATCTACATGGCTTAGTGAATCGTGTGCTGGGTCAGGGACACCTGAATTCAAATCCAACCTCAGATACTTCTTAGCTACAAGACCCAGGACAAGTTCACTTGTTCTTTCTTGGCCTGTTCCATCAGTAAAATGAGGTATGTGTAAATACCTAACTTTAAAGCCCTATATAAATTGTCAGTTATTTGAAATAAAGTAAATAGCCATCAATTGGGAATGGATAAACCAACTAGGACATAGTAATATAATGAAACATTATAGCTCCAAGACATGGATGAGGAATTCAGAGCAGGGGGAAATGTCCATAAACTCAGGCAGAACTCAGAACCAGATGACAACAATGTAAAGTGAAATACCAAAGAAACAAGACCGAGCCAATCATGACAACAAAGCTTTGGCAGAAAAGAATCGAGAAAATCCATCTCCCTTTCCTTAAGAGGAGAAAATATGGAATTACTGCCTATATTCTCATATTCAGCTGATTATGTGTTTAATTCTTTTTTCCCCAAAATCTTTTAAACAAGAGACATTTGCTGGGTTGAGGAAAGGGTGGGGATACATATTAAGGAAAAATGCGATTCATAAATCAAAACCAACAAAAATGTGTTGTGTTTTTTCAAAGGAACAGGAAAAATTAAGTATCCATGTTAACCTACTCAGCACTAGAGCAAGCAGGCATGAAATGGTACTAACAAAGACCCATTAATTCATGGGAAGCAGTCTACTCAGGAAGGCCAACCCATGGCCCCGTGCGCACGCACGCGCGCACACACACACACACACACACACACACAAGGATGGGTAATAATAAATAGGAGGAACTTGATCCTACTGCAAGGAGGTAACTTTCACCTCTGTCACACTAAGACTTGGTGAAATGAGACTCGTGACTGGACTACAGCTATGGAAGAGAATACGGCACTTCCTATGTCGGTTTCAAGTTCCAATCATTTGTCTGTGTAACCTTGGGACGAGTTACTTACCCTGAGTCAACTTCTTCATCCAAAAAACCAGCAGGAAATTTGATAAAGGTGCTTTTCAGCACAAATGTCTCACATCAGCTTAATCTTGTCATTTGTTTTTCTTATAAAGGATTACACGAGATGTTCTGGGGAAATCCTGTTTGAGCAGTTTGCCTAAATTCTTAATGATTTCACTGTTTTTGTAAATGTAAATCACAATACTAGAAAATTCAGGTTTTTCACTGGTAATATCGAGAACAAAACCAAGAACAAGTCTCCTTCCAGTTGAGTCCCAGCAGCTAAAAGTCTGGACGTGGGTATGTGCCCTGAATCAAGTTTGGTTGAGTAAGGATGGCATTAATGGAAAAAGTCAGTACTACACTTTGAGTCAGAAAGGATCACAAGGCCAAGTCCCAAGCTATGGGACTTCCATCTCCATCAGTAAAACAATTAGAAACTACTACCCAGATGGCCTACCTCACGGAGCCTGTGACGTTCAAAACACAAAGTGCTTTGAAGCAAATCTCAAAGTGCTGTAACATCAGTTTTTGTTCCAGGATCTAGTTTCCCAGAATGTAAGAAAGAACCTGTTATGGGGTAGTACTGTGCAAACCTCAAAGCACTTTATAAAGGCTATTGTTATGTCTTGAGCATGCTGAAATGAGGTGGTTCAAATGATGCTATCTTGGCAGTAAGTAGCTCCTGCCGGGATGGTTGGCTGAAAGGGAGGAAAGCTGCCCAAACACCCCCATCTACTCTTAGTAAAACCCTTTAGTTCCTATTCCTACGAAGGCAAAGATCAAGAAATCTAATGAGAAATTTTCCATCCCAGAATTGAATAAAAAGTCACCTCAAAGCCCTGGGGTAACAGGAAAGGGGGCCCTCAGCCCAAGGACTCTTAAGGTCCCCAACAGTGCCCTGAGAAACCAGGACACTTAAAAAAAATCCAAGGGACCTAACTGGGGAGAGATCAGCTCAACAACCCAGAAGGGACCCGGAGCCAGACCAAGCAGTCCCCCCACAAAAAGTGCAGTAAGGGGCAGAACCTGGCCTGGACACAAAGCCCCAATTCAAGAACTGAGACTAAAAAAGATGAGTAAACCAGAGACCTTCCAGCATGAACAATTACTGCAAATGGTTCTGAGCATTTCAGCAGGTCTTGAGGCCTTCATAGACCATCTATAAGATGGTATATTAAGTGATTTATGACAACTTAGGCAGCAAGAGCCAGTTGCCTTCAGTATCCTATTCCAGCAGAACACGTGTGTAATGGCTACATATAAAATACATGAGAATAGAAGCTGTGATTTATTATATATTAACCATCTCTACCAGTGGGCAAATTAGCAAGAGAATTTGTACACTTGGTTTTTTCTGAATTCAATCCGATACAATTCATTCTACACAAGGCCACTTCGTACCACTAGTGATCTAAAGGTAGGTTGAACAGCTAAGGCTTCTAATGCTCAAGATTAGATGATTTACAACTTAACTTATATCCATTTAAGTGTCAATTTTTTAAAAACTCAAAGCACCTGCTGCTTTTATTTCAATTTTTAAGTATGGTATTTATTTTCTGTATCTCTGAAATGTCAAAATCTCAAATATTCAGTCTCAAACATATCTAACAGGATGTTTTTATTCCCTGCTAAGATATAGCAAGAAAAAGAAATTTCTAATAACATGAATTGGAAGGGGAAAAAAAAGCACTCAACAGTAGTTATGGTTAATACTTTCCCTTAAGACCAAAGTGTATTTTGGAGGTCTCATCTTAAAAAAACTGAACATTCACGATATTCATTATAACATTGTGGCTACACTAACTCCCAGTTACATTGTGAAATTCAGAAAAACTAAAGCAAACTAAAATAGGCCCAGCTTTTGAGATATCAAAAATTTCCCTACCTCAACCTCCCCGCATAAACAGTCTTCACAGGAAGAAGAGTGTTTAAAACTTATGGAACCAAATGTAATCAATCCCTTTTTCAAGGATCACTCCTCCATTCCAACCCCTCCCCCATCAAAAGAGTTCAAACACATTTATTGCTTTTAACCAAACTGTACCATTAACAAGGATTAAGTCAAAGAAAAATCAGGCTCAGAGATCCATATACATTTCCATTTTATTGAATTTGTTAATGTTACAGGGTTCTTGCACTGCCAAAACCATGCCTGAGAATTCAAATAACGAAATAAGGTACAATGGACAGTCTCATCCACCCATCATACAGTATATTAAAACTTGATTAATGTGCATTTTGACAATTTCACAATCTCTTAAAAATGTTATAACAAGAGTTGGGATTTAAAATCTACTGCAGGTCTTCAAATTTCTAGTACAATATGCCATTAAATAACACTTCCACATAATCATCTCAGTTCATTCCTCAGTAATATAATCCAACAAGACACTGCTGGCAAAGATGCATACTTTTGAGGGAAAATAGATGGCTCGAAGTCCTCTACTTAATTCTTTTACTAAGGTTTTTGGTTCCCAAATGAAGTCGTCAGTTCCTCTTTTGAACACCCAGCTCCTTCTGGGCTCAGCAACTTGTCCAGGCACACCTCTCTAAGAGGCCAGGGAGCTGGCCTGCCAGCAACTATGCCAAGAAGCAACTGGCAGGGGCTGCCAAGAGACACTGTCAGGAGCCCTTCCAGGAGTCAGAGGGGATTTCGGCATCTGAACCCCTATGAGGGAATCTGCTGCTTCCTTTCACATCAGGGAGATTGTTTTACTCACCTACTTGCTTCACTCTCATCAGTGGCAAGTCTGCAACTCCTGAATTTGGCATTGAAATGTAATAGAGAGAAACCCAGACTCTGTGCATCCAGTGGTCACATACCACTATGCAATATTTGTACTGAATCAAAATGACAAAACTAACAAGGATGAAACAGAACCTGAAGTTAGATGGAATGAAACTTTCACACCATAGGCAGTGACTTTGGGTGCCTGTCAGGTCCCACTTAAGGACCACGTTACTGGACTGTTTAACCCAGTGTTACAAAAAAACTGAAGTGCTAGGTCACCTGTCTTCTGCCCCATTCTTTCTCCCCCCACCCCCACCCCCAACCACTGAACAGGCAGAAACAATCCAACAGAACTAGTCAAGATAATCACTGCAGCAATAAGCATCCTGACCTTGAAAAGGCTGGGGATAAAGGCTGGCATCTGAGAGTCTTGTCAAACACCACATAATTGGTCAGGACATGGGAAACATCAGGAAAGCTTTTGCACACCCACCAAGCTTCTGTTTAAGATTTATTCATGTTGGTTCGAGTTGAAAAGGAGCAAGACAAGTTTGCTAGAAATAAACTCACAGGTGATTGAATACCTCTACTCTAGTAGTAAAAAAAGGTTACAATCCCACCTGCTAGATACCAGTACTCTTGTCAAATACATACTGTACAAGTTAAAGACCTGGTGATTAGAGGCTTTAGCAGCACCTGAAGTCAAGCCTTGGCATCCACTGCTCTTTAAAGGCTATGGAGTTCCAGCCCCTTGGGGGTGGAAATCAGGTTATGAAACTTATTTCACAATCCCTCTTTTAACAGATGTTTCAAATTACTCAACCAAGCATTATGCTCTGTTCAAAGAACTTAGATTCTAAGTCAAAGCAAAGAAGGCCTTGTTGGCAGAAAATACAACATGTGCTATCCAAATAAAAATGGCTAAAGAAAAAAGAAATTGGACCGTTCAATCCCTATCCCACCCCCCCAATCCCACTTTGTACATCAAAGTGTGGTTAAATTTAGTTTCTCGTAACCTCAGAATATGGCTACAGCTAAAGGGTTAAAAAAAAAAACCAGACAGCTCTGTATGGGTTTATTTGAACACAGTTCTTTGAGAGTGGTACTGGTACGTCTCAGGAAAAATCATGTATAGCCACAGCTACTAGAGAAAGTATTTAAGGATGGGGCCCAGGACAGGTTAATTAAGGTCACTTAAATCTTTGTCATTTATAGCAGATCAGAACCCAAATCGCTGACTTTTGCAGGATTTCTGATAGGAATCCAGTAGAGCTGGTTTCAAGTTTCACATCGCCACTTAATAGCTGTAACCTTCTTATCCAGAAGTTGTGATCCACATGGTGTCCACAATGAGTGCAGCAAATCTGAGGTAGTCAACCCTTACGAAGGCTCAGTATCTGAACATAAAAAGATTTCGAAATGACCACTGGCTGCAGGTTTGTTTTGGGTTTGTTTTGGTTTTTTTTGCAGAGTAATTATCAAAGAATACTGGTGAATCTAGTTCAAGCAATTTACAACATTGAGAATTCCCCCACATTCAATGGTGTACCACACATTAAGCTTCCATAGGGCAGCAGTTCAGCCGATCGCTGATGTCAAAACAAGTCTGCATGTGCTACAGGAGATCCGGCAGACATCACAAGGTGGGTGGTTGTTCATGGCCGTTAGCTGGAGTTTAGTTACCTTAGTAGAAGGGTTATCAAAAAGCCATTCCTTAATTGTAATATGTGGGCAGCTTTACTGATCCCCCAGCACAGCATACTGGTTGTCTAGATGCAGTTTAAGTGCCTGGTTTTTGGAAACCTCATCCCTACCTCTATTTCTGTGTCTTACTACTTCAAAGCTCTTCTCCATTTCTTTATCCCTAAGGGAAAAGAAATGGAATCAGTAAATATCTCTTGACTAAGATAGTTTTGAAAATCATCTTCCTTGAAAAAAACCCACCCCAAGAAGAATCTAGGGGGGGAAGATGGATGCCATGAAGTTAATATAGCTCCTTTAAAAGGGCTTTTCAGCCATTTTTAGAACTGGAGTAACCTCTTTATATAAAAAAGGTTTCAACTAAGCAAAACACAGAATTGTTTTGTAATGTGGCCCTATCTTTTAACATAGTGATCTATCCTGCAGTAGTTAGCTACAGATAATTTCAGGGCTAGTTTAAAGACAATTTAAAATTTGCTATTTGACATGCAATTCCTTTGAACTATAAATGTATACTATCCTTTCGTCAAAGTCATTTAAGTCAAGCTAAAAACTTGACCAAACTTCCAGAAGTTCCTCTCACAGAAATGGGTAAGATAAAAGAAAAAAAAAAAGGTGGTTGTGGGAGGTTTGGGGAACGGCATATTCAAATAAGGAAATGTTTGGAGGGTTTTTTTTAAATTAATTTTTAAGAATATAATGCTGAAAGAATCAGGCTAAGTGAAACTCAAAACTGCTATGTTTTTAAAGAGAAAAAGGCAAGAAAACAACCCGGATCTGTTTTCAAAGTCACCCACTAACTGTTCAGAAGCAGTACTAACATTTGATGTAAACTGCACACATTTCACCACTTTCTTTTGTTGGTGGAGCAAGGAGACAGTTCCTAAACAAGATTTTAACTGTTTCTTAATACAATTCCACAAGACATTAAGTTAATTGCTGAAATACAAGTTTATCATGCTTATAAAAGTCAGACAATGCTCATTTATGTTCACTGAACACACCTAAACCATCTAATGACATTTTTACTTGCTATATAGTACGTGTGGACCAGGTGGAAGAAATGAAGTGCTATTTCAAGAATATGAGACTTTTTCTACATCCTTCAAATTACCCTTGGTAAAATGAAGTGTTTTCCTTTAGCTTTCTCCCACCCTTTCCTTACCAGGGCCCATTTCCTTTCTCCTGGATGTACCTTATGTCCAATTTTTCTTAGTGATCAACTAACCCATTAATTAACTAATAACAGTAATAAGCCATTTTTATCCCTCTTCCTTGGAGGAAGAGGCATGAATAAATGAAAAACCTGGAAATATCAAACATATTCCAAACTTTCCAAGATTATTTACGTAGCTACACTTACTTCCGACTTTCTACATGCTTGGCAGTGGACTGCAATGATGGGAACTGTGTATCGCTGTATATTTCTGGTGGTCCTTGTGGTGTTTTTCTCGTTGAAGTCACCCTGGCACCAGGAGGCCTGTATACGCCACCAGTCATAACAGGTTCTGGGGTTTCTGTAACTAACAACACAAAATGATTTGGTGAAAAAACAAATTTACAACACAGCAAAATATTTGAGTCCTATTCTCCCTATCAACTACATGGAACAAGGAATGCCTGACATATCTAGGTAAGCTCTAAACAGGAATCACCTAATAAGAATTAATTCCATTTTGGACTATGTGCATAGTTTAAAACAGGCATAAGCTAGCCTGCCAACCCTAAGAGAAAGAATCCTAAACACATACAAGACAAGGACTAGCTGGGGTCCCCACTATTCTGAGCAAACTGAAATACTACACAAGTACTGTATGTCATTTACCTGTCTAGATTTCTGGTCAATTCATTCTTAAACAATGAAAGCAAAATTACCTAACCTGTATGTTAAATAGAAAGCAACTATTATAACAGAACTAAATGCATTATGATTTACAGAAGTAAAATGAGTAAAAATCTCTTGCTCACAATACTCAGAAAGAAATTAAGAGGGATGAGGAAAAAAAATAACCTTTGTGACTTTGTATGATGGCAAAAATGAATACACTTTAGTCACAATGAATTCTGACCAACAGTAAACCCTCCCTTAGGAGCCACCGTTAACATGTGTACTTTATTTAATAATTACTGATAAATAGAGCTTACTTATTATGAAGGCTTATTTTCATTACCATAATAAACATACTATCCCCTCCTGGCTTCCGCTGGATTAGCAGCAGGACTGAATTAAGTGGATTTCTGATTAAAACAGTTCAGCAGCCAGTTCACTTACAGAATTAAAAACATCTTACAGAAATAACAGAAAAGTATTTTTCTGAGGATTGACTATACCAATATGCCCAAATAAAGTAAAAGGCATAGAATCCCCAAACTATATAGAACTTTTACATTAGGCCTTTTGCAAAGTGACAAACAAATGAAATTTCAAGAGTTAAAAGAAAAACCTACACTTAGATAACTGAGGCTTAACTTATTTAATCCTGCTTTAACTTGAGGAAAAAAATCTATTACCAATACTTGGAGCAGGTACTTGAACAGGAGCTGTTTTATTCCAAGGTCCAGACGATTTTTCTATGCCCCCACCACCAGCTTCTTCCCAGTTATCCCCTGGATCTTCTCTCTTCTCATTATCATCTTCTTCCTTTTCACTATTAGAAAATAAAGATATATATATAATCTAAGACCAAAAAGAATTATCAGGAAAAATTGAGACAAGTTAAGAAGTTTAGTTGCTTATAAGGGTAATTCATTTTTAATTAATACAGTAAAATATATTAAATACAATTTAACTTATACAGGCTCTGGGGGAAAAACCTGATGTAAGTTTCTAATCAACAGATACACTACAAAACCATCTACTAACCTTTTTCTTTTCTGGGAAAGAGCAACATATGATGAGCTAGTGAGAACAGACTGGTTTGGGGCAGGAGTTGTGCATGTGTTTTTGAATAGGAAGGAAGGACTTTTGAATGGTATTTATCTAAGATAATAGACAAAGGAGGGTCGGTGGGGGGGATGATGGAGAAAAGTAAAGGGCAAGCAGGGAAAAGGGAAAACAACGTGGAAAACTGGATAGAAACAAATTTAATTCTGCTTCATTTGTCAGGTAACCCCTAAAACATCCCCTAGGAAAGTACTATTGTTAGCCTTTTCCAATGAAAACCTAGAGTCCCTCTCAAGGACAATACTCCTGAGGCAACATTTAAGATTGAACTTTGAGAACCCTGGGTCTGGGGTCTCAGCCCTCCATCGGCTCTGTGTGACTGACAAATCTCTCTAACACTCTCACCTGTAACTAAACACTGTCTCCTCAGATGGAACCTCTGAATCTAAATCCTTCTCCAAGGTAAATCATTTAACCTAAGCTTCAATTTCCTCATCTCTAAGGTGAGGATAATACCTATGGTACCTACCCACAAAAGATTACAATTACATACAGGCATCTCCCCAAAGTCTCAGTGCAGTTTTGACCAACTCAAGCACATTACACACATATCCTGCATATGTAATGTGCTTTTACAGACTTTCAAGTGCCACATTATAAGTGCCACTAGGTTTCAAGTAAGAAATTTTAGAAATGGGTAAAACTATGCTTTTAGCTTTAAAATAAGCAGATCTCAGGTCCCTCTGCCAACCTTATGAGTGATTAAGTACAGTTTTAATAAGTGGGGTACTTTATGCAAATAGGAAAAACTAATCTAAGACACCTAACCATTTAAAAATACAAAAACATTTATACAACATTAAAGGTGAAGAAACTGAGGCCCACAGGTTACCACTCTCCTAAAACATAAGAAAAGGCCCTCATTTTGGCAACAAATCTAATGCTTTGGAAAAGACTTCATAATCATAGCCATCTCCCCTCCCCTTGTAAACACGCATACTGGCAAAAACACTGGACTTAAGTCAGCTTCTAGTTCTAGTTTCAGATCTTTTCTAGGGATAAAAAGAGACTCTTTAACATGTCTGTGCTTTTCCTAGAAAATGGAGCAATTAACCCTCTTAAGGTCCCTTTGTAGCACTAATGTTCTATGAATAAGTTAAGGATTATAAAACAGAAAACAAACCTCTTTAAATACTTCAGTACTTCCCTATCAAGTCACTAACTTGTATTTTTACACAAGTTTTTCTAAAATTTGAATTTAGGGCACTCAGCCAATTATACCCATGTTATCAATTGGCAGTACTTAGAGAAGACAGCAGTAGACAAGGTTTTCCTTGGCTCCCAGCTTGAATCTGGCCCATAGTCCCTCTTTTCTCTTGGCTACAGCCAGCCAACAGGGTTGTTGGCTCAGGAAGCAGGAATGATGGAGAGGGAAAGGTTAAGCTGAGGATAGAGGGAAAAGAATGGAAGGAAGTAAGAAAGAGAAAAAGGTATGAGAACCTAAGGGGACTCTCTGAGGACTACAGCAAAAGAGACTGACAGTTTTACAAAAGACAAATTTCCCAAACAGTTTCAAGAAATGGCACCCTCACTTGAACTGTATATATGGTGTCAAAGGCATTTTGAAGGAAAACACTAATTTGGAATAAATAAGTCTGTTAAATTTTTTTTAAAGTTAGTCTCACAACTTTATATGATCATACTTTGTCCCTAAAACAACAACAGTGTTTTTCAAGCTATTATGGGGCAAACTACAAGACCTGTCAGGCAGATGGAAAATCTTGATTTCCTGGATGTGGGTTATCATTCAGCAGCGTGCTCCTGTGGCCACTATTAAACCAACTCTTTCAGATTTAAGAACACTGTGAAACAATGTGAATGATCAAAGGGGAGAAAAATTAGGAGCAAATAAGGGATTCTTAACCCTGCCTTTAAAATACTGGGGTGCCATGACTGAGAAATGGCTCAACAAGTGCCTATTGTCCATGAATACATTACTGTGCTGAAATTAATCAATAACAAATAAAAAGCATAAGACAGACATAGGTGAACTGATGCTAAGCAAAGTAAGGAAAATACATAATGACTACATAAATGTAAATGAAAAGAACCACCACAGAAGAAAGATGTTGTGAAATTATATAGCAGAAGCTTGGCCCCAAGAAAATATAAGAAAACTTGACCCACTTCCTTGGGGGTTGAGTGGAAGAGAGCTAACAGGTGTAGATCACTGCACACCAGATTTCTTGTTGTATTAATCAGATTTGCTTATTTTTTTCTTCTCTAAAATTATAAGAAAAGGCTTTCTGGAAGGCCAAGGTTATACAGGGGGAAAATAAAAGCCATCAATAAAAATATTTCTTTCCCTTTTTTGGGGGCTCAGGTGAGGCAACTGGGGTTAAGTGACTTGCCTGGGGTCACTCAGCTAGTGTCCAAGTGTCTGGTCTGAGGTGGGATTTGAATTCAGGTCCTCCTGACTCTAGGCCAAGTGATCTATCCACTGTGCCACCTAGCTGCCCCAATAAAAATATTTTGGTGACAAGATGAGATTTTGGGGCTTCCTTGAGCTTTTCTAGCTCAACAGCCCTATCTCAGAAGGTTGCTATAAAAGAGACCAAGTGGATCCCTAATAATACATAGTTGGTTCTACACACACACACACACACACACACACACACACACACACACACACACACACACACACACACACACTCTCTTAAAAAAAGGAAAACAAACTTCTTGGATCAAAGTAGCCCTACTATCTCATCTCCAGAAAATATTCCCCTGAAAGCAATCAATTGCTCAATGAAAGTGGATCTTCACTCTTGATTTGTTACGATATAGCAAGAGCTATATGGACAAGAAATGTAAACAGTATAGCACAGTGTCTCATTACCAGAGGATGATTAAGAAAGGCAAAACACCAATCAGTACCAATTCAAAACCCACTTTATCAAGTTTTATATTCAGTTACACGTTTGTAGCAAATGAAACGGTGTTCACAGTAATGTCATTTCTCAGAAAGTGAGGATACAGGCCCTCAGTTAGGAATCATAATTCCAACATTCTGTCAGAGTCAGCCAACTATCTCCACTGACACTATAACCAGGACACCTTAAGTAAACTATCTTCAAGCAATAATGGCTATGGCCAAAACCAAGCCTCCAGTCTTAGGGTGACAAGCTTCTCTGAATTGAGCTCAGCTGATTCTTGAAATGACAAACACTCTTGCATGCGGGATCAAAGTTTGAGATCCGTGGGGTAGGAGGTGCCAACTGAAGGCTTTGTACACATCCTGTTGTTTCTCTATAGACCTAAGTACTACTATCTTTATTATTTTTCTACATTTTTAGAGTAAAACATATTTTAATCTTTTCTTGATGACCCATGATAGTCATCACAAACATCAGTTCCTGTATTGTAACAGGCTGGTTGTGGCTACTCAAGTCACAACTTACACCCCAAAGCCCCAGGCTCTTGAGTTCCTAGTTTTGCTTTGGATAATCTGCTTTCTCCTCCTACCATCAGTTTTGCCTGGCCTCTAGCTTTACTCACTCCCTTCTAATTTGACTCATCTAGGAAACCAGAGAGATGTTTGTTAGAGCTGGGCCTTTAAGAGTAATTTTGTGCGAGTTTACCATGTGCCTTATGCTATGGTGTCTTATTTATAGCTATATAGTGATAGCTATTCCATTAAATCTGGTTTAGCTTAAAAATATGACAAAATTTCCATCAAGCTATCACCTATAAGCTTTCTGAGGGCAGAAGGCTCTTGCCTCCTTTTGCATACCCAGCACTAACAGTGCCTGACACATGGCAGAGGCTTGATAAATGTTTACTGAAGGTTCTAAGGCAGAAGAAGGAAATGGAGTGTACAGTTAGTTAGAAAAGGAGTGTAGAGCTCATCAAAGAGTAAAGATCCAGAGCTGTGGCACAGACCTTTAGTAAAATGTTCTTTAGGGCCTGTAATAAACAGGTCTCTTTCCTATTTCCCAACATTCTCTTTCCAAAGATGCTCATTAACCAAAATCTCATGTGTGACCAATACCTCCAAATGACTAAAGGAAAGGTCTGTTTAATTAACACCCCTTACAATTTATTTTTGTCCATCAGTCATGACCCCATGGATCACAGCCCTACTCTCCTCCACTCTCAAAAACTCTACAGTGCATGTCCATTGCTTCCATGACAATGCTTCCCTCTCATCCTCTTCCTTTTGCATTCAAATCTTTCCCAACATCAGGGTCTTTTCCACTGAGTCCTGTCTTCTCATGTGGCCAAAGTATTTAAACTTCAGCTTCAACCTTTTACATTCAGACCCATTACAATGCACAATATTTAATACTTAGATCAAGGAATTGGAGCTTAAAGGGACCTTAAGACTAAAATAAATTCACCCAATGTCATTTAAAGTGTGGCCTGCCCAAAGTCACATAGCTAGACAGTAGCAGACTCAATTTAATGTATCCTAATGTGCTCATATTTAATTAACATGGTCTAGACAGGCATCCATCCAGGCAGGGTATGTCAGGTGTGAAGATCCCTCTACCTATCCAAGATGATGAATCACCCCACCCCACCCCAGCAGTCATCTTAATTCAGTGCCCTGCTTTACTAAGGTCACAGGAGCAGTAAGTAATCAGAAAACCTGGCAGTCAAAACTAACCAGCCCAACTAACTCCATACCAGCAATCCAGCTCTAACTAGAGAAGAGGCCCAAAGTGAAATGACATTCCCATAGTTACACATGTGACGGCTCAGAGGCAGACTCTGAAGGGGCTCCAACACCAGCCCCAGAACCAGGCACGATGCCACTCATCCTTCCGTTTTATAAGCCCTGCCTCCAGAATTCACATTATGACCAAAGCCTGAATATACTGCAGTAACACAGTCAAATAACACCTAAAAGGACCTAAATGAGTTGTAGAAAGGATTCTTTATCCCAATCTTTCATGCCAAAAATGTATCTACCCTAGTGACACTGCACAGAATAATTGTCCTCGTTGTGATTTGTCACATGATATAGGTACACTTATGGTTACCATTGGAAACATACCCCCACCTTACACTTGTGAAGATGCCTCCATATTTTCCAAAGAGTTTATACCCATTATTTCACTTATTCTTTAAAACCCTTTCAAGGCAGGAAGAGCAGGCTGTTAAACCCAGTTAATAGATGAAAATGAGGCTGATATTCATATCACAAGGCACAATAATTTGCAATAATTTAATGACAACTATCACCCTATATACTACCTCTCTCCCTTCAGTCAATTAACACTTTAAGTCACTGGGAGGGTGTTAGGACAATACCAGCTGGCAGATACCAACCCCCTACTAGTTAGGGCTGACCAAAGTCTCAATCACAAACCTACCAGAGTTGGGGGTGCTATTTTTAAATAGTATCATCAAATACCTATTTGTCTGGATAAACTGTCAGGCTTGTCCATATATTACCTTTTAGTGAGAGCTATTCAAGATGCAGTGCTCAAAGCTACTGATGTAGACATTCAATTAAATAGATATCCCTATACCCATGGAACAAATATAATAGAACTGGGAGCTAAGTGTGAAACAGGCAATTATTAACCTGTTTTGCTGTCTTTACCAACATTTATCTTTGGCAATGTTCCTTCATCATATAATACACCAAACTTTTAAGAGCAGAACAATGTGGCAAAGGCACAAACCAGCACATGAAACTTAACTTTTAAGAGTTAGGAATTTAGAACTATACTCTCTCTTCCCCAACAAAATACTAACAAAATCAAGAGGGCCTTTGAGCCTATGATGCTACATAAAAAGCAGTAAAAATTTGTCCCCAAACTCTTTACCTGCTCCCCCTTTCCCCAACCAACGTTCTTTTCTCCCACTTTTTGCTCCCAAGTTGGAAGAAGCATTAGATTTCCAACATATTATATCTAACAGTGTCCCTGGACTAACAATGTATAATTGAGTTAACCCGTGCACCTCCCATTCAAAACAGAAACCCTTTTGCCCTGGTTTATATAAAGCCCTTTACTGAAGAAAGCAGGTTAGATGGGTAACTGCCAAATTTTACTTGAGGGCCCTTATGACTAAATGGAAGATAAGTCCTCACAGTCTTCAAGCTTTTATAAGGTTAGATAAGGGCTCCTTGCCTAGCTTTGGCTAGGAGTAAAATGGCCAAATGCTGAACTTAAAATCTCTGCTTTGGCACAGCTTAAAGACATAACCTGCTATGGAAATTCGGTTGACAACAGCAAAAGTTGCAGCTCCCAGTGAAAGGATAAGAATCTGCTCTGACAGTGAATCCGGACTTCACATTCAATAACTGCAACAACAAGTGATCTTCATGCTTTAAAGATTCGGTGCCATGCTAACGGAGCTTAGTGCTTGATCTTCTCTGCAAATGAGTGTCTCGGCAACAAGCATCCTCGAGACTGATTCAAACAAGAAATGGATGACGACAACCATGCCACCACTCGGGTCACTCAGGTCCTTCCCCAGAATCATGCCCGTCAGCCAAGTCCACACACAATGGCCACGTACTAGTCTATCCTGTCGATGAGTCAGCCAGCACCCCTCAAATGCACGCACTGTTCTCAAAGGAACAGGCAAACCAAGTGGGCGCTTAGTCTTATAGCAAAGGCTCCAGAACCCAAGATTAGTTTCCAACAGCTGACATTTAAGGCTTGCAAATATTTTACACGCATCATAGCTCATTTGACCTATACAAGCAGGTATAAACTGTTCCCACTTCACAGATAAAGAAAAAGGCGGTGAGTGGTTAAGCAGAAACACAGAGCCAAAGCCAGAATATTTTCCCAATCCCAGGACTCTATCCACTTAAATACTCAGAACCAACAAATCAGAAAGAGCTGAAAATAAAACCGAAAGATCCAACTTTAGTTAAGTGTTTTAAGCTTTTATTAATGAATGACTTTATAGTTCGTAAGGGCATTTTAAAACAAATGGCATTTCCTGGTGATCCTCTATAATTTTGGTAAAAGGGGCAAATCTGTGATGAGAGCTTTTTACTCCCCAAAGTTTTACTGAAAAACAAGTTTTTAAGACCAATAAACTACCACCTCTAAGATAAAAACTGGGTTTATAGTTAATGAAACATTTACATTTTCAGTGAGGGGGCTACAAGTATTCTTAGACAGCAGACTTCAAAAGGAAGACAAGTGAACAATATTATGAATCTTTTTCACACAGCCACACTGAAGGAAATTTCCCCAAATGAGAATCTGTCTTGTTTCTACCCAGAGAAACAGAATATTGTAGCTTTCTTTAACTTAGTAACTCATCAAGGATATGTCTAAAATCTATGACCAGCTATTGAAGTTACTAGAACATACAGGTTTTAGTCATGTTGACTCTCCGGAACCCCAAGGACGTTTTTCTTGGCAAAGATACTGAAGTGGTTTGCCATTTCCTTCTCCAGCTCATTTTATAGATGAGGAAACCGTGGCAAACAAGGTTAAGTGACTTGCTCAGGGTCACACAGTCTGAGGCCAGATCTGAACTTAGAAAAAAGGAGTCTTCCTGGACCCCAGGGCCTGTGCCCAGAACTTACATTAAGTAGACTAATTCAGTTCTAATGTCCAAGTTCACCAAGTTTATTCAGGAAAAAGGGGAGCAAACAAACTACTTTAGATGTCACAAGTATTGAAGGCCTAACAACATATCAACTTATTTCCGAGAATTTCCAATACTGATGAGGGTTTAAATTAAGTTAACTTTCCAAAGAACTTCAGAATTTGGTGGCTTTTTCTTATAGCAGCAATGGAACACCAAGGAGATAGGAGAGATTTAACTTTGAGATACACATGATTCATTAATGCCTTCACGTCTGTTTCTAAATCAGTGTCATAATGAGAATTCAGTGGCTTTCTTATAGTGGCAATGAAGAGATTAAACTTTCAGATACACACAATCCATTACTGCTTTAACTTTGGTTTCTAAATCAGTTTCATCATAAGGCTGCTTTGGAATTTCTTTAAAAAAATTAAAACCGCAATACTTCATCCCTAAAATACGCATTTAAAAATAAACTGTACCTTATCTGCATCGCTTGAACTCTGAGCCCACTGTAATCAATTTCTTTTTGCTCGAATTCTTTCCATTCATCTTCATCCTTGAAAAACAAATAATTAAATAACAGAATCATTAAGAGTTTGAGGTCGTCTAGCCTTAAAACTGATGTTCAAAGAAGGTGGGTCACAGACACTTAACTAGATTCCAAGGCTTCCTCCCTCCCAGGCCTGACGACCAACTTTGTGAACACTTCAACTGGGTATCTCAACTATAACGTTCCTTAAAAGACACAGTACTAATCTGACACGGACCTTGCTTGTTGCTTTTAGGACAAATATGTCCGGCAAACATCGTTACTTCTAAGTGAAACTGGATTTTTTTCCCCGTTGGGCTGCTCTCCAAGCCCTTGAACAGAGGCGGCCAGCGATTGTGAATAAATTAATGCCACGCTGTGCATACCGAGGAAAAGCCTCTAACAACGAGAAGGGGAGGCCAGAGTCCGGAGGTGGTCAATTGGAAGGCGTCCCTTAAGTCGCCACATTCCCGAGTCTGGGGGCTCCGATAGGGGCTCGAGCGGCCTCCCTCTCCGGGGTCAGACTCAGGGCGTGTTCAGAGCCACCCCCGTGGGCAGCAACCCACCCGGCTTCGGAACGCGGGAGGAAGGAGAAAAGGCAGGGCGGAGGCGCTTTCCTGGGCCGGGAAGGGGGCCCGGCCAGGAAGCCCGACGGGCCCACGAGGCCTGCGGACACGCGCGTCACGTGGGCGCCCGGTGGCCCACGCCGCGGCCTGAAGGAGGCCTCTCCCCAGCCACGCCGCGGGCACCGCCCCCCGCTCGGACACATGGTGGGAAGGGGAAGGGGCCCGCGCCCTGCCGCCCTCCCGCCCAGGCCCCGGCTCGGCCTAGGGCGGCGTGGCCGCCCGCTCTCACCTTGGTCTTGGCGGCCGCTCCGGGCCCCGCGGCCCCAGCCGCCCCCGCCGCCCCCTCGGCTGGCCGGGCGCCCCCTCCGCCCCCGGGCCCGCCGCCTCCGGCCGAGGCTGCTCCAGCCCCGGCCCCCGCGGCCCCGGCTCCCCCGGCGGCGGCGCCCGCAGCCCGGCTGCTCCGCTCCTTCTTCTTCTTCTTGTCCCTCTTGGCGAAAAAGTTGTCGAGGCTGCGCTCCTCGGTCTCGGCCATGACCGCGGCGGCCGGCGAGGGCTCGGTTCCTCCCGGCCCCGGCTCCCGCCTCACGCCGGCCTCAGCGCCGGCCCCGGCTCCCGTGGGCCGCAGCGGCAGCGCCCCCGGCGGCGGCCGGCGTCCGCCTCGTCCTCGGCGCCGCTGGCGGGGCGGGCCCCGGCTGTCCCCCCCTGCGCGCCGCGCGGCGGTGGTACGGTCCGCTCGGCTCGGGCCCGCGGGCGGCTACGGCTCCGTGCGCACGCGGGGAGCAGGCCGGGCGGCCCAGGCGTCCGCTGCTGCTACCGCGGCTGCTGCTGCTGCTCCGAACCCCTGCTGCTGCCAGCTCCTCAGCCAGAGGGGAAAAGGAAAAGGCGGGGGGAGGGGGCAGTAGAGAGCGAGACGCTCAACGTGCGGGGTGGGCACGGGGGAGGGGAGGGGGAGGGCAGTAGAAGCGCGCACGCGCGCCCAGAGAAGGGAAAGGGAATGGGAAGGGGAAGGGAGAGGAGGAGGGAGGGCAAAAAAAAAAAAGAGGCGGTACCTGCCCACTTGGTGCCGCCCTCACTTTTGAAAGAGCCGACTGCAGGGAGAGGGGGAAACTCAGGGCTAGGGGAGAAACGGACCAATCAGGTGGCAGCGCGAAATGCTTAGCTGACAATCCCCGCCCCGGAGGAGGTGGGGGCGGAGAGGTGGGACTATGCAAATGAGATGGCCCGCTCCCGCGTGCGCCTTAAGTCCCGGAGAGTCTCGAATCCGCTGATTGGCTACGCGTTTGGATTTGAGGGAGGAAATTCAACAAACTGGGGAAGTGGGGAACCTTGTAGGGTAAAAAAAGGGCTATTTTTCCGTGTACCCGGGCGCATGCGCAGGAGAGTGAATTGCACGTGTGAGCTCTAGCAGAGCTCAGTTTTATGAGCATCGGTGGTGACGTTTGGAACCTTACTTTGGCCTTTGGGAGGAGACTGCACCTGATGGCCTCTGGGCTTAATGTGGCTGCCTAAAATTGTTACCATGACTCGAATAAAAGTTATAAAGGGCACGTTTGTGTGGGACAACAGGAACAGGACCCAAAGAGGTCTGGACGGGCTTAGCTACGAATCTAAAGGGATGATGTAAAGATGATAAATTCGTTTGCTTGGCTTCAAGTAATCGATAATCACAGGAACAGGGTACAGTAAGCAGATTAGATAGCAGTGTGGCTGTCAGGAGCCCCAACCGAGGATCGAAGTGTAGAATTTCCAGAAAGACAAGTTTAGGCTTGATGTCGAGAAAAGCTTCCTAATAAAGAAAAGTACAAGTAAATGGAATGGACCTCGCCCTAAGGAAGAGATGGCTTTCTTCTCCTGGAAGGTCTTCAAGCAGCCTAACAGACCGCTTTCCCTCCCGCGTTTTCATGGAGATTTCCTTTTGGGTATATATTGAACCAAATAGCTACTGAAGTCCCTGCTAAAATTCAGTGAGTCTGTGAAATTAATTATTCATTGGATTTCTGATTAGTGCTTTGTTTAGTGTATCTGTCCTCCCCGGAGATAAAATGTAAGCTCCTTGAGGGCAGGGATGGTTTCATTTTTGTTGTGTGCCCACCGATTTTTGCATAGTGCCTTTGCACGTAGTAGGTGCTTACATGCAATAAGAATACAAAAATGAACCAGTTCTTGCCCCCAGAGCTTGCACTGACATGGGCACACCCAGACCACTCACCAGCCTGTGCCCTTCAAAGCTTATATATAAGCAAGGTATATCTCACTCTTACCTCTGACCTTTGATAGCCCAGTTTACAGCAGGAAGCCCCATAGCCAGAATTTGGACTATAAGCTAGGTCTTCCCTGATCATAATATATATTGAAATGTAAAATGTTATCTCCCCCAACCAGCTGATTGTAAACTCCATCCAGGTGGATGGGGATTAAGTCTTTTTTAATTTTTCTACTCCTCCCCAGTACAGTGTGGTTATGTAATAAATGTTTGCCATAGAGGATGTTGAACAGTTTTGGCATTTGGGCATGATTTGATTAGTTCTCGGTTTCCAAAGAACTGAGCTACATCTTTCGGATCTATAAAGATCTACAAAGCTAAGATTGAGTCATTTATCCTCTCCTTAATGGGCTACACATTCTTTAACTAAAATGAAATAACATATATAAAGTGCTTTATAAACCTTAAAGCAATCTACAAATGCTAGCTGTTATTATTACTCAAAAGAAATTAGCCTAATACATTTTTTAACACAACAGATGTGTGAGTTTGTTTTTTACCCGACTATACTTTTTTGTTATGAGGATGTGTTTTTCTTTTATTTATGAAGATCAGGGGAAATGAAGGGGAGGAAGGGTAGCTAACAACAGACTTACAAAAAAAAAGAAAAAAGAGTCATTATAGAGTTTTCTAATGTACAGAAAAGAGTAAATATAGAAGGAAATAGGCAAGCAGAACCACTTCAAAAGTTTGCTGACTTTATTATGTACTTGGAAAAAAGAATAAGAAAAGCAAGCTGAATCTAATAGAAATGTACATTTTCACATAATCTTTGTTTTCTGTTCTTTATATATGAAAGTGTTCCTTTGTCAGAATAAAAAATTAAAATTTGTAAAAGAAATTACAAAAGAGAGAGAGATCTAACAGTCCAAATGGGAAGAACCAAATGCATGAATAATGCCTATTTTCAAAATGTGAGTGCAGTGGGATGGCAAAGACAATGACTGTTAAGTATACATAAATGTGTACAGACATTGCAGAGGGACAGTGAGCTGAGTTGAGAATTGGCTAGGATGAAGGGACCGAGTGGGGTGTGAAATTGTGCATTGCTTCCAACATTTGCTTTCAAGATGCTTCCTGACACAAAGAGCCGTCTATTCTCAACCTCCTTCCACCACGTTTCCAATGATGACCACATACAAGACATTCCCGTAAGGGATATTTTACATTTTACACTGAGTAATAAATGTATATTGTCAGCAAGGGAGTGGGCCAGTCACATTAGGAGAAATGAGGGATAGATATCACATCGGTAGCCGAGTACCATGTTGGTAGCCTAGAGGAAAGAAGGCCTCCAGAAGTTGTTATAGATCATCTATAGAAAGATCTATTGAAAGAACTTGGGACAGGAATCACTCTTAGAAGTTTATGGGTGGCTGATGATTCTCATCCCTGCTCTCAAGTTTATATTCTCCATTTTTTTCCCAGTATACTCCTATGAGGCCAAATCACCATCTCCTCCCAACCATTTATCATATCCAGTAACCCTGGGTGTGTCCCAAAGTGCTCCAGGTCACTTCTCTCTGTGACACAATCATACCTCACTGTGATGTTACAAAGCCACCCTGGCCTCCATCCTCCTAACATCTGAATTATCTTTAATCAAAGAGTTGACAGCCTTATTTGAAAGGTACCACAATAGCAGATAAAAAAGATAAATAAAAGTTGGTCCCTGCCCCTTCAGCAAGAGCTTAAAAGCCCAGAAGGAAAAATAAGAGATGGCACAAATAAGTACATTATAATGTTTTTCTCCCAGTCTTATCCCCATCATCAGCGTAATGAGGGTGATTCAATCATTAGATTCATTCAACAATTCATCTATTTAGTGCCCTCTATGTGTTAAGTGCTGGAGATATTGAGCCCCAAACAGTCCTTGACTTCAAGTAACTTACATCCTATTGGGGGAAAGGACAAGAATATAAGTGTATGCAAAAGATCTAAAGTAAATACAAAGTCATTTAGGGGGAGGGAAGAGGAGGCATTAGGAACTGGAGGACTCCTGGAGAAGGTGGCATTCATCTGTCAGGCATTTTCAATCTCTGCCTTTGCCTGGTTCCTATTCTGCCTCCAAGCTCTGGTATCCCATTCCCTATTTAAACCTGTTTTTCCTTGTCTAGCAAATGTCCGATCTCCCTCCTTCCTTTTGCTACCAAACATGTGGTCTTCATGGTCTGCATCCTCTGTCTCTCCACTTTCTCTTCCTGTAATTTGGCTTTTGCACCTTCTTCACAGAAGCTGCCCTCTCAAGGGTTATGAATGGCTTCTTTCTTGCCGAATCCAATGAATGAATAAACAAGTGGTGGTATGTGAATATAATGGAATGTTACATTTCAATCTCTGTCTGCCTCAGTTTCCTCAATGGTGAAAACAGAATAATAATAGCATCTACCTCCCAGGGTTGTTGTGAGGATCAAAAACTTGTAAAGAATTATACTTATAAAGCACAGTGCCTGGCACATACATAGTAAAGCACTTAATAGATGCTTATACCTCTCTACCCATCCCACCACCATTACTGTATGGTGAGAAATTTTAACTATGAGGATTTCAGAGAGTCATGAGAGAGTTTATGTAAATGGATGCAAAGTAGAGTAAGCAGAACCAGGAAAACAAAATATACAATGGTTACAATGTTATAAATGAGGGGGGAAACTAAAAAAGCCTGAAACTAAATGGTGCATAATTATAATAACCGGGCTTAGTTGAGATGAATTAAGAAAAATGCACCTCCCTCCTTTGCAGAGGCGGGCAGATATGGGCGTGGAATATCGAACTGACAATCAGACATGGTTGATGGGCTTATTGGTTTTGCTGAACTGGCTTTTTTTGTCTTAAAAAGTCTTTGTTATGAGGGATGTCTCAAAGCATTAAGGAAGTATGTGTATGTTTGTGCACAATATACATGTGCATACATACATACATATATATAGAGAGAGAGAGACAGACAGACAGACAGACAGACAGAGAGAAAATATAAAGAAAATTAAGATCCAAAAAAAAAGAAAAGGAAATCAGAGAGCCATTTCAAAAGAAGAAAGGACTTAGTCACACACTGGATCCAAAGGGTGAGGAGAGGAATGAGTTGGAACATCCTTGGAGTCTTAAGAACAGTAATGCCAGCCAGTAAGTGGTATAATTAAGAACATATTTAGTTGGGGCTAGTGTTTATTGAATACTTTCAGGTCTGCAAAGTAGTTGACATCATCACCTCATTTGATAATCAGAATAACCTTGTATTTGTAGGTATTCCCATTTATTTCCATTTTATAGATAAGGAAACCAAGTTCAGGGAGATTAACAGACTGACTCATGGTAAAATATCAGAGGCAGATTTCAAACCTTCCTGATTCCAGGTGTAGTCCTCTTACCACTTACTATTCTGCTTGTGCAGTTGGA